CCACTGCAAAAACCCCTGAGTTATCATCCCCAGGCTGTGCTAAAGAGCGTCAAACCAAGTGTTCATAGCCTCTTTTGCCATGAAATCTCTAAAATATGTGAGAAAGGCGTTTGTCTCCCCTCCACCAGTGAAACAGAAAATGCAGAGGCTGAAGGCTAGTTTAGGCACCCAGTTTTGCTATCACCCAAGCTCAGATTCTTGTTCCAAACCCCCACTGATGTAGGTTTAGCCACTCTGTCCCCTGTGTTCCCTCCCTGTCAGCTCAACTTTTGACATCTCACTTGACCTTCAAGAGAACCCATATCTCCTTGGCTCCATGCTCAACAGTTGTTACTGGTTATTAAATAACTACTAGGAAGCCAGATGGGTAAAAATCCACCCTGCTCAGTAATCCACAGTGAAACCCATTGTCCAGGGACTTTGACACCATTGAAAATTTCTGTGTTGTTATAAAAGTTTCATCTGACACCACACCAACCTGGTCCCTCCACCTGGGGGTCTTGGGGGATTTTTGAGTTATTTTGTAGGTGATTGCTGAAAGATGCCGGCTGGATCCAGATCAGATGGTCTGGTAATTGGGTAGGTGGCACAGGACACCCCAAAACAACTCCATTGGTGCTGACCAAAGGCTTAATCCCCAGCTCTCACTGTGTTCCTTACACAGACCTTGTAAAGCACCCAACTACATGACATTTCTGGATTTATGAGCATGCTGCAGGTCTTGACATGAGGGACGCACAGCAGCAATCCCACCTTCCAATGCCCTCAGCCCCACAGAGCTCCCCTTCTTCCCCCTCCCACCCTCAGTCATGGGCAAGACCAGACAACAAGCTAATTGTTTATGAACTGTTTCCTAGAAGGCGTCTCTGAAAGACCCTAAGGGCCATTTTAGACCTTGTTAAGAGGAAAAAAATCCTGGAAGAGGGACAGTTTTAAAGCAGAATCCGTGATGCATTGTAGATGGCAAATGGGGTCTCTTGTAGCATACACCACTTGAATCTAATTTCAAGGTTAATCCTAAGCATCATGGAAGACCCACCCAAACTCTCTCTGTGTCTTCATCTGATAAAGAGAGAAAGAGCATGGTAACATTTCTCTCCTCATACCCTTTACCGCCCCAATCTATTTAGGTCATCCCCACATTTTGAAGGCAGTTTGCAGAGCCTTAAATCTGGCTCAGATAGCCCAAAAGTGTCTCATTGTGCTGCTTGTTCACCCTTCTCCTCCTCAGGTAGGCAAGAAGCATGAGCAGGAGTTTCCCAACACAATTCCCAGCCATCTGGCCAACCAGCCAACCGGCCAGCCAGCCAACCAACCTGCACCGCCTCCTCCCCTGACAGGAAGCCCATTAATCATAGTGCTACAGGACAGGTGGAGGATCATCAACCTGCACCGCCTCCTCCCCTGACAGGAAGCCCATTAATCACAGTGTTACAGGACAGGTGGAGGAGGTACAGGAAGAGCTGGCGTTACTAGATGTGTTTCCTACAACTTCCACAGCCATGAGGTCCCTGGAGTCAGGTGCTCCCACTCAGGAGTGTGAAGTTGTCATGGCATATCGGGTCCCTCTTGATCTGGCTACAGCCAAAGCCTTCAGTAAGAAATGCTGAACCTGACAGACCACAGCCGTCTGCCTCCAAAATAACAACCTTTAACTCTCCTCTGAACTTTTGCACAGATCCAGCCAGCCTGGCCTAACAAGCTACACTTGGTCTCATGAAGATGGCCAAGTGTGTGAAAAGCTAATACTGTTCAATGCCTGCCAGGGATATTCTCCAAGGCAACACAAAGAGCATCAGTGTGTTCTTTAAACTTTAAAAATGTTGATGGATGTGGCTCTAATGACTTACCAGGCTCTGGCCCAAAGGATGCAGCCTATCAGCAACTGTGATGGGGAGAAAACAGGTTGAGAAACTCCAGGAAGAGGATATAACTCCTCTTTCTTCTTCTTCCCAGTCTGAAGAATTAGAGGCACCATTTTAAAGGAGGTTATAGGGGTCCAGTTCAGGGGACAGTCACGCTGGGGAGCTGAAGAAATGTGCTAGGGCAGGGCTCTTGCAGCCAAAGCACCTGAGTCTGAGTAGATACAGCTGAGGAGATTTTCAGCTGTTGGTGTTGGCTCTTTGCAATATGTCTTCCTGCCATGCTAACAAAGGCCCAGTGCCATGTGGACAGCTGTGGTGTTGACTGGGTCACTGTGTTTTAGCCGAGGAACTTAAGCAGTCATTATTTCTAGGGAAATGCTGAAGAGATTTAGTGTTATAGACAACGTTGGCAGATTAGGAAAAGGGTATTTGCAGCCCAGGAACAGGCTAAGAGTAGATCATAGAGTTGATATCTTTCAAGAGAAAGGTGTATTTCTAGAGCAGTGTTCTACTACCAGCATGAAGAAGTAATGAACAGTCCTCCCCTTCTTCAGACCAAACTTTAGCAGGCATCTGGTCACACGTGGTAGGGGCTGGCTGTTACCCAGCTGACATGCCCTGTGCCTGCTGCACCCCAGGCATCTGTCATGGCAGGTGTCTCAATGTCAGCTTTCTCATCCCATCTTCTGTGGAAATGTCCAAGCTGCCAACCTCAGGATGCAAACCCAGAAGTGAATGAGGAGCTCTGGAAACATTGTCTCTGCTGGGGCTGGAGGCCGCTGTTAGAAACTGCCACTTCTAAAACATCCATTTGCAAAATATCTCATCACCACCTGAGAACCAGGGGATGACGCACATGACAGAGACCACGACCCAAACCATCTAACATCAGCAGAGGGATCAATGGTCACCCAGAAAATCCACAGCTGAACTTCCAAGAGGAGACAGAAGCAGTGCGCTGCACAAACATCCCTCCACGGGACACTAAGGTGGAGCCACCTGGAGCCACCAGGTCCCTCTATGAAGCATTCAGCTGCAAGGCTGAGCCTTTGTGTGGCACTCAGCATCCTCTAGCTGCATAGCAGGGGGGACAAATCCTCTCCCTTACAAGAGGTGATGTCGCACCGCTTGTGTTGGACAGAAGGTCAGGCTGAGTCTTCCTGCTCCCTACACTAGTTTACCCACCCATGAAGAGAAAAAAAAAAGCCATGCCAAATTAGGTTGCACATTTCAGCAATGGATGGAAAGCAAAACTGTCCCAAATGCCCTCAGATATGGGGGTTTTTGCTATGAGCTCCCAAGAATGGATGAGAGCTCGGAGAGGTTGCATGCGAGGACTTCAAATGAAAAGGGAGTTGCTTTAACAACACTTTTTCTTGAGGAGTGGCGTGTGCCACACCTAAAGAGTTTCTGTTGATTTTTCTCTCAAAGAGTGCAGGATGATGCACCTTCCCGTGCTGCACCCAAATCGGGACACGCCGTGACCTTCAGCCTCTTCACAATGAACAGCACACCACAACAGATGAGCAGTACATCTATCATCCCTCACATCAGTTCCTGGCAGCCAGACACTTTAAATCTCCCCGACACTGAAATATAAACGGTGCCATCTGTACCAAGGGCTTTGTCTTCGCAATCATTGATTAACGAATAGGCCACAAGCCAGCTAAGGGAAAAGTTACTCACTTCACTAACCTTCGGTCATTTTTGCAGAGTCAGGTGATTCCCAAGCAGTGGGTCTTGTAAGATTTTTTCATAAATACTTTTTGTCTAAAAAGTTTAAATATTTTCATTTCAATATTTTCATTTCATATGCAGATTCACTTCAACCAGTGATCTCCATGCCTCTGTCACTATAAAAAAGGATAGATCTGCACAATGAATAGTGGATAAACAGTAGTTTTTTCAGTACTAGCAGAAAATGTGGTTTTCCAATGGCCATGGCATAATTTAGACTAAAACCTAAAGGAAAGTGCCCAAATGTCAGAAGAGATGTGTTAAGTTGAGGAGAAACACCCACAAAATTCAACCACCCCTATGTAGCAGCCCATTAGCCTACCAGGTTCAGCAGCTGATGACACCTTTGATCCTCATAATATCCTGACAACCAAATGGGAAATGATTTCAACACATCTGGGGATCCTCCTCTTTGCAATATGCCTGGAAGTCACTCACATGTGGAAGGCTTCCAGCCCAAGTCCTCCAAGAAGCCCAGAATTCCATCCAAGCCATTCCAGGCTTCTGCACCTATGGGATGTGAGCCCAGGTAACCAGCAGGATCTACTCAGGGATTGCTCACAGGGGTCCTACTTGGGGATGAGCCAAGAACTGCACTGGAGAGGTAAATGCAGTGATGTGGAGCCTTTTTTGGAGTATGGCGAGGTGTTGTGTAGCCAGGGGAAGCAGGACTCACCAGGACCATAGAGGGGATGTGACCTTACCATCATGCCTCCCTATCCGGGTGGACGTGCCCTCTGTTTTGCTGCAGCTCATTTTACCATTCTGCTGCTTTTCCTCTCCTTGTCTTTTCTATCGACCATGGTAATTCTTTCGGGCTGCAGTTTTGTCTCCTGCCTTGTCTACAGCATAACCCTTTGGAGAGCAGGGCCATGGTCCCTTGTGTGCTGACGAGGTTATGTACATTCTCTTGGTTACAGTCTGGCTGCTCTGTGTGATGTTGTGGTCACTCAGAGCACTGCTTTTACAGATGAAGGTAGCTGGATCCATCCAGCCCGTGCATTGGGCAAAGGTTCCTCTCTTCATGTGAACAGACGAATGTCTTCCAGATCTGAATTTGTCTGAGGACAGGACAGAGCTCAGCCAGAGCCCGAGCCTGGCCACCTCTTACCTCCTCCCTTCTGTAGCTTCATCCTATAGCTGGGCATGGATGACTGAGCACTTTCCCTCGCTGCTGGGGGGTGTACAGGACTTCAAAGAAAGGAGCAAAATACGTGCAAGTTGCTTGTTAACAAGCCACCTCCATCCACAGGTTGCTGGAAGCAGGTGAAAGGGTGAGTGGGAGCAGCAGGCCATCGGGCGGCCGGCCAAGCTGACGCATTGTTTACCATGATGTTCCTGCTGGTATAAATTGCTGCCAGCAGCGCTCCAGCAGGCTCAGCTCCAGCAGAGCAGGAGGGAGAGGATTTTTACCTGCTGCCTGTCAGGCACAAGTGGGGAGGAGCAGGCAGGAGAAGACATCCCGGACGCAGGGCCAGCATGGCATCTCTGCTGGACCACATAGCCAGACCTTCTGCTGTTGTTTTGCAGCTGTCTGTGGTGCTTGGTGTCATCTTCGTGGTGCTGAAGGTGGCCCAGTTCTACCAGCAGAGGAAGAAACTCATCAAAGATCTGGAGGCATTCCCTGGTCCCCCAAAACACTGGCTCTACGGCCACAATCACCTGGTAAGGAGGGAGCTGGGCTCTATCAGGGTGGGTCTGTCCCAACAACTGTGGAAGGTATCAGTCAGGATGTGAGGGACCATGTCCCCTGCTCGTGTTCTTCCTGCAGGAGTGCCAAAGCTTTTGCAGGGCAGGGAGAAAGGGGGCCTGCATATGAGATGGGCATCATTTTAGTGGAAAACAGAGCCATGTTGTTCGGGATCATGTGCTTAACTATGGACTTAGGTGATTTCTGGGACTTTCATGAAGTTATTTATATATGAGCAATCATAAAATGTCTCTCTTCTGCATTAAACCTCCTACCAAGAGTGTCTCACCTTACAGCCACCTCAGAAGACATGGCCATGAAAGCAAGGCATTTTATCACAGGCATATTCATCCTTCTATAGTGAAGGTATTTTTGCTTTCATGTTGTATGCCCACCTTGAACTGCTAAATTTAAAGGAGATATGTGTAACAGCCTTGGTCCCCCTGGCTTGTTCACTGGGCATCCTGGAATTTTCTGTGCAACCTGTAGCTCCCAGGGGCAACACCCAGTCGCTCTGATGCCAGGCTCTCCTAATGTAGCTTGACTGCAGCCAGACCCCAGCTAGGACTCTCCATGGAGCTGTCTTGTGCTGCAGGGACACAGGAGCTCAGGTAGCTTTGCCACCTATACACAGTCCCTTTGCCATGCTCAGCATCTCCTCCATCTGCTGCATGGAAAGCCCCCCATGGCAAGTCCACCCATTCTCTCCCCATTTCCCAGGAGAGAAGATCTTCAGTGTGCTTACCATGAGAGGGCAAGTTTAGCCTCTGCTCCCCCTGGCATGTCCTCCTTTTTCTGCCTGAATTCAGTCCCTGCTTAACTGTCTTTTGCAGATAACTGTGGATAAACTGTTAACTCAGGTGGTGTCATGGGGAGAAAAATACCCCTATGCCTTTCCCAGATGGCTTGGACCAGTCCTGCCTTCTCTAATAATCCACCATCCTGAATATGCCAAAAGCGTACTTGGCCGAACAGGTAAGTCTCTACATCTGGTTTTAGAAATTCATGTCCTTTACACTTCCCTACCGAGAAAATCATGGGAAACTTGCCTGGAGTCATCCTCTCTGACAGCTTCCTTCACAGCTATTGCAATTCCTCTTTTGCTCCCCTTCACAAACTCCCACCCAGCCCCAGGTTTCATGAAACAGTTTGTACTCCCAAGCAAAACAGTGACGACGTGCCTGTTCCTCCCAGTCCATTGCCCTCTATCTCCATTATCATTGGTCTTACTGTCTTCTATGATATCTACCACAATATCTCTGTTTCCCAGTAAACCCAGTAATGTGGGTGAGCTGGCATAGCAATGGGTCTTGGGAGATATCTCAAGTCTTCTCCTCTGCTCCCTTCTGTGGAGCATGATGCCTGTGAGTGACACATGAGCATCTCCAATAGCTACCATCCATCATTCTCAACTTTGAGATTTGCCATGGCCATTTCTTTACCACACATTTTTCATTACCTTTCTCTGGTTTTCTCAAGTCCACTGAGGTCGTATTTGCAGAAGACCACTTTTAAACGCTACTTCTAGTATTAGAGTATTTTACATACTGAAACGGGACTGTTTCTAGAAAGTGATTTAGAGAACAGACTCTAATATCAATTTATCCTGAATTTTCTTTTTTGTTATGCTGAATTCATTAACCATTCATACTGGTTTGGTACCTGTTTTGCTTTACAGATCCCAAGTCAAGTGTACCCTACAGATTCTTAGTTCCCTGGATTGGTAAGTCCTTTGTTTCCATTATCCCTTTCAGCCATATTACACATTTCAGCTGCTTCTCTCTTATCTTTCTTTATTTCGCTTTCTTCCATTCTAAAACCGGAGCTGGGAAATTAGAGGGTTTCTTTGTGTGTCAGCATCAGTGGTGGTGCCCACCTAGTCGAGGAGCTCATCAGTTGGCTCTGCCCTGGGTCACACACCCTGGCCTTCACAAAGCAACCTTCAGTTTGCTCAGGGATGGAATGCTACCATGGACAAGTAGGGTGAGACACACCGAGGACAGGAGGGCTCATGGCCTACACACAGCTTCGAGGTAGTCCTCCAGGGTTCTGCTAATACCCGTCAGCGTGTGTTGCAAAAGGCACCCAAATATTTCATTTAGGGCATAAAAACCTATCTGAGAGAGCAAGTCCTGTGCCTCTGCCATCATGGCTTTCAGGGTAGATCAGGTGTGCATGGCTGGTTGCAGTGAAGGACAGATGGGCATGCTTCTCCTCCATCCAGAGAGCACTGCTGTGAATGGCCTCAGAGAGGCTGGAGATAAGGGTCCACCAACAACTCTTCCTCCTCCCAGACCCTACATATAAGCCTGTGCTTGGCCAAAAACAGCAGTAAAGCTGTCAGAGCCATGATCAGAACCTGGAGGAGCTGATCGTGCCTTTGCTGTTTGTGTCTTCAGGGAAGGGGCTGTTGATCTTGGATGGACCCAAATGGTTCCAGCATCGGAAGATGCTCACCCCAGCCTTTCATTATGATGTGCTGAGATCTTATGTGTCCCTGATGTCAGACTCAGTCAAAGTGATGCTGGTAAGAATCACCACTCCTGATACTTTTACCTTTCAGCTGTGCACCAGCGAAAATAATCAAGTGTGGGAATGACTGAGGGAAAGAGACTGGACTTAGGTGGTTTCTGGAATTTCATTGAACTTTTCACATAGTTTTGAAGTTCTGAAATTGCTCCCCTCACCTTCCTCTGGCCATTCCACTTATTCTCTCTTTCACCCGCTTTCCAATAAAACCAGCCACTGCTAGAATAGTCTTTTCTAGCCCAGTAACAGTAAACCTGGAAATAGACATGCACAGAAGAGTTTGATTAGATTCACAGAATATATACAGTGAACTAAGGCCTCTGCTTGCAGAAAAGAAAGTAATTAGCAGTGTGGATCTGGGAAGAGGGACAGGAAAATATGACCCAATTGTAGATGGTAGTCTGTCCCTCCTTACTCCTGTCTCCACCACTAGGATAAATGGGAAAAGAAGATCACAGAGAGGAAGTCAGTGGAGCTCTTCCAGGATGTGAGCTTGATGACACTAGACAGCATCATGAAATGCGCCTTCAGTTATAACACCAACTGTCAGACTGAGAGGTCAGTACCTGAACTTTCAAATGTTGGGAAAGCAAGTGCTCTGTTTCCCCACTCGTGTCACTAACACCAGCCTCAAACTTGGGTCTCCTTACAGCAACTCAGACTATTATATCAGAGCTGTTTATGACCTGAGCTGCCTCTTGAGCAATAGAATCCAGAATTTTTCTTACAAGGACATCTTCTATGACTGGACTCGCAAAGGCCATGAGTATCAGGATGCCTGCAAGCTGGCCCATACCCACACAGGTATTTCTCCCCCTTTCTCCCCAGCCCTGTCTCCCAGCTGAATCTCTACCCCACTTTAATCTGGAGCAGCTTGGAGGGGGTTTGCAACATGCACTGGCCAGAGGGTTACACATTAAACAGAGTCCAAGCTGCTGACCGAGCAGACAAGTGCATGAGCTCTCTGGAGGGGCAGGATGCATCTAACGGGTTGATCATTCATCTATACAGATAAGGTAATAAAAGAAAGAAAGATGTTGCTCTCCAATGAGAAGGAACTTGACAAGATCCAGAAGAAGAGACATCTGGATTTTCTGGATATTCTTCTTTGTACCAAGGTGAATGTTTGAAATAATCATATCAAATGCCAAAGAACGTACTTGCGTGGCATAGAGGAGGCATCAGCAGGGAGCTCACCACCCCTGGCTGGAACTGCTGGCAAGAGCTTCCCCACTCTAGATTTCCTAGCCCGGGGAAACGTGGATTGAAAGGGAAGGAAATACAAATGTGTGAGATGCAGTGACTGAACACAAATAGCCAGGGCAGACTTTCATCTTCCTTGTTCGTTTTCATTGAGCACATTGATAGTTTAAAATAAGTGAGCTGTCAGAAACCAGAGAAGAAGGAGATCTTTGGAAAGGTTACAGGGGGGCCAACGTGGCTGTAGTCCTCTTAAGAGAATTTGTTTCTTACCTTCTGTAGTTTTACCTTCACAGACATCCTCAGATACTCTGGACGGAAGCTGCCCTTTGGTGTTCAAGGAGATCCTACACTCTCTGCTCGCTGTCTTTCTGGAGCCACTGCTTTCTAACGTGCACTTAAGAATTATATTCTCTCGTCTTTATTAGGATGCAAATGGAGTTGGGCTGTCCGATGAGGACCTGCGTGCTGAGGTGGACACATTCATGTTTGAGGGGCACGACACCACGGCCAGTGGGATCTCCTGGCTCTTGTACTGCCTGTCATTACATCCAGAGCACCAGCAACGGTGCAGGGAGGAGATCCAGGGGATCTTGGGAGACCGAGATACCATTGAATGGTGAGCTAGGACTACTTGCTCCTTTACTTTGAACTCTTTTCACTCATCCTGAGAAGGAAGTTTTATCCACCTTGTACTGCATCTGCACTAGGGGATTCTGCTTTTCACATAGCAATGCTGGCAGCAAAGGGAGATCTAGAAGAAGGAGAAACCCCAACAGAAGATGGGAAACATGGTGGTCCAGCACACCCATTCCCCATTGCTGATGTTCTTATTGCTGCCACTCAAACACAGCCTGACCCCCTGGTTTGCTTTCAGGGAGGACCTTGGGAAGATGACTTACACCACAATGTGCGTCAAAGAGAGCTTGCGTGTATTTCCACCGGTTCCTTCCATATCCCGACAACTCTCTAAACCTATCACATTTTCCGACGGACGCAGCTTGCCAGCAGGTCTGTTCTTTGCTTATCCTTCATGCTCCTGTCCATGACAAGTGGGGCATCCTCACTAGAGCTGCTATGCGAAGGGGCTGGTGGAACTTCCATCCTCTCTTCTGTCTCCAAAGGGCTGTACAGGGCCCCCACAGCTCACTATCACAGCTCTTCTGGAATGGTGGCTGGAGAGTGTCCAAGGACATGCTCCAAGGCACTGGGGTGTTCACAGAACTTGAAGGGGTCTTAAAGAGTGTTGATCCTGGGCAAGAGTAGAATTTCATCCACCAGTACCAAAATGAGTCCCAGCTCTGAGGCCATTTTTTCTTCCACCTGAAGGTTTCAGCAGGTGACCTGTCTGGACAGGCTGGGCATAGTCCATGCCAGATCTCCTGCAACAGCCCCTGCAGAGCTGGGGGAGGGAGGACATCCCACAAACACCTCTCCTGGGCCTTTGCTCTGAGGTGTCATGAGCTTTTTCTCACTTTTCTTTTACAGGCAGCCAGGTTGCACTGAACATATTTGCTATTCACAGGAATCGGGATGTGTGGGAGGACCCTGAGGTATTTAACCTTTATAACAAGAATGGGTAGAAGTTCTCTGAGCCTAGATGCCCTCGAACAAGGCAGCCTGTACCTCCCCACTGTGTTTTGGGTTTTTTTCCTCTCTTATTCCAACAGTCTATATCTAAATGTAAATTTAATGACGTTACCAAACAGGCCTAAGGCTTTGAAAATGACAAAAACCTGCCTGGATGTGTTCCTGTCCAACCTGCTCTAAGTGAACCTGCTTTGGCAGGAGGGCTGGACAACATGATCTCCGAAAGTCCCTTCAAACTCCTGCCATTCTGTGATTCTGTGAGATGATATTGAATAGTCTTCATGTATGGTGACACAGAGATACTCAGACTGCTTTCAGCTGCCGTGGATAGATGTAGGTCCTAGCGCAGTAGGAGAAGTCCCAAGCCCTCCAGGCAGTGCATGATTCAAAGCTGGTATCTTAGAGGCTTCAAGGAAAGAAACAGCTGGGAAATTTGAAGGAGGGTGCACAGCTGCCTCTATCCAGTGTTTACCTGGAGAACCAGGACCAGGCATCTCTGGACCAGAGGGAGTTTGACTCCATCATTGCTGCCATGGATTAGAAAATACCTGCAGGCATCTTGGGCACTGTAGTGGGTGATCTGGAAATCTCCACGGGGAAGATCTCCACAGCCACCAGTGTCCTCTTCTCATCCATCCAGTGGCTTTGTAGGCAGATGCCTGTCAGCTGCAGCTCCCCCAGGAACAGCAGAGACCACATCCAGTCATATCTTGGAGACCAGGGAATAACCTGGTGCTGCTTATATCAGACCGAACACTGATCAAATGGCCTTTGTTGCTCCCACAGATTTATGATCCCCTGAGGTTTACTCCAGAGAACTCAGCACAGAGGCACTCCCATGCTTTCATACCTTTCTCTGCTGGATCCAGGTAGGAGATCCTTCATCCCTCTCCTTCCCCGTAGGTTGCCTTGCATGGGAGACCTAACTCAGAGCCAAGCTCCTGAAGTTAATTATCCTTCAGTTCCCATAAGACAACTCAAGCAGACTTTCCGTAACAGGATCTCCACCACGCTCCATCAGCTCCAGAGCGTTTCCCACAGCCCAAGCTCTGTGGTCACTGTAGGGTTTCACACACTGTTTTTTGCATTGACAACATGGCCTCCCTTGTTTAGGGGTGAATACCCAGTGCACCTCAAAGGCAAGCTGGGCCCAAGTCTCTGTGGTTCCCATGATGTGTCAGTAGACAGGCACGGGCTGCTGAAGTCCCAGTAACTTGCAAGAGGAGATACTCCATGCAGAGCCAAAAATAACCTTTCTGAGGTGTCTGGGGTTTTAGCTGAATCCATGTAGCACTTTCTAGTGAGGTGAGTCCCAGTTTTCTCAATCTCATATCTTTTTTTTTATGCTTATTAATCAAAACCAGCAATACTCCAACACAGAGCTGGGTGCATTTTGATGTGGCATCTGGGGATTCCTATATATGTTGTGGGGTCATCCTCGCAGCAGCTGGAGGTACCTCAAACAGCTTGGGGCTGGTCAGGGATGAAGGCAGCAATTGGAACATTTGTCATCCTCTCCCCAGGAACTGCATCGGGCAGCAGTTTGCCATGAACGAGATGAAGGTGGCTCTAGCCTTGACCCTGCTCCGCTTCGAGCTCTCACCCGATCTGTCCAAGCCTCCCACACTGATGCCACAGTTGGTCCTCAGGTCCAGAAATGGGATCCACTTGATTTTGAAGAAAATTCGCTGAACCTGTGGGGTATCACAGCGGGGGAGCAAGAGCTTTCCCAAAGACCACCCTCCACCCAGAGGTTTAAGAGTGGGACGCCAAACAGACCCACCATGGCCATATTAACATCCTCTGCTGCCATCCAGGGGGGCACATAGAGTCCCCTCACACACACCCCAAACCCAGAAGGTCCAGGTCCCCTCTTTGCATGGGGAACAGCACTGCCAAGGGGGTTTCATGGCATGGCTGTGGCTCAGCCTTCACCTCTATAGGCATCCTCCATGTCCTGCTCATCTCCTCACCTCCAACCTTCCCTCCAACCCAACACGCTGCCTGGTGGGACTTCTTGTCACCTGCCTGTGTATTTGCCCCTCTGCCAGTTCCCTGCTCGGGCACAATGATGAACAGCATCAGTGTGGTTTGCATGGGTGTCTACAGCCTGGACACTGCCCAAGCGTGTCCTCCCTTCCCTGCCTCCAGCCTGGGATTGCCGGCGCAGGAGAGCTCCTCCCTGCAGCCACACCACATCCCCACACACCACCCTCCAAATTATTCCCCTTAATCCCTTCTGGGGCTGGCCTTGTGCCTGCCCTTACGGAGACAAAAGCCAGCGGGTTTTTTTGCCCTGGAGTTGAACTTCCTTGAGCTGAGGGTGCTCAGGAGCCAGCGCAGAGCCCTGGCATCAGTTTACCTGGAGAAAGCACTCACTGCCCTCAGACCTGTGATCAGTCTCATCCTCCTCTCTGAAATGAGAATAAAGCCTCATGGAGATGCTCCCCAAGTGTGGCTTTGGCTTCCTTTGCATTTTTTGGGGCAGGGGATACAGGATGAGTCCTGGCAGCCCAGATCCCAGGCTGTCCCCAAGGGTGCAGCCCTGTGAGTGTTTTCTCAAGCCACAAGGGCTGTTTCACTGGGTTTTCCCCCCGTTGAGCCTGAGGAGCCTGTTTCCATCCCTCCCACGCTGTGGGTCACCAAGCCCTCACCTCTGCCTGCAGGAGTTTCTGTGGTAAGAAAACGACTGTGATACACTGGGGAGCTCCTCCCTGCAGCCACACCACATCCCCACACACCACCCTCCAAATTATTCCCCTTAATCCCTTCTGGGGCTGGCCTTGTGCCTGCCCTTAAGGAGACAAAAGCCAGCGGGTTTTTTTGCCCTGGAGTTGAACTTCCTTGAGCTGAGGGTGCTCAGGAGCCAGCGCAGAGCCCTGGCATCAGTTTACCTGGAGAAAGCACTCACTGCCCTCAGACCTGTGATCAGTCTCATCCTCCTCTCTGAAATGAGAATAAAGCCTCATGGAGATGCTCCCCAAGTGTGGCTTTGGCTTCCTTTGCATTTTTTGGGGCAGGGGATACAGGATGAGTCCTGGCAGCCCAGATCCCAGGCTGTCCCCAAGGGTGCAGCCCTGTGAGTGTTTTCTCAAGCCACAAGGGCTGTTTCACTGGGTTTCCCCCCCGTTGAGCCTGAGGAGCCTGTTTCCATCCCTCCCACGCTGTGGGTCACCAAGCCCTCACCTCTGCCTGCAGGAGTTTCTGTGGTAAGAAAACGACTGTGACACACTGGGGTCAAACAAAACAAACCAGAAATCACACACCTCCCCACTCAACTGGTGGCAGCACAAACAAAATCAGCTTGAAGAAAAAAAGCCCAAAGAGAGAGCATAAATCTGTCTCAAGCCCTTTTCTGCAGAGGCTGAGAACTGACTGCTCAGTACACGAGTGTGCTGCCCGAGGAGCGCAGGTGGGCACGCTGGCTCTGGGGTTGAGCTTGTTTTGAGGGTGCAGGGACCCACTGCAGATCCTCACCCCAGCTCCCAGGCTAAGGGGGACCATCGGGGTGAGCTGCAGGTCTGAGGGCGGGAAATGGTTCACTAGGTGGCAGTGGGAGACTCGGAAAAACTCAAACTCCTCCCTGGCAAAACCCCTTGAGTTTGTCAGGGAGCGTGGCCAGGCCCAGCAGGGCAGGGGATGGGCCCCATCCCTGGGGGTACCTCCATCTCCATCCCATCCTCACCCTCAGCCGCCTGAGGCAGTGGAGGAGGGACTGCTCTGTCACAGTCCCCGGCACGATGGTGGTATCACCCAAGCATTGCCGCAGGGAATGCTTGTCACTGCGGGTGACCAGGCACTCAGCAGGCACCAGGGGAAACTGAGGCACAGAGAACTGCACAGATGCCATGCCATGGTAGAGACAAGGCCGTTCGTACAGGTCTCCCCTAACATGGCCAACCTGGGTCCATCTGTCTGGGCAGCTCAACTCTGCTTGTGGCCACACCAGGACAGCCAAATCTGAGAAACTCCCCAGCTGAATACACCCCTGCAGCTCCCCATTTCTGCTGCATCTTCAGTCTGAGAAATAAAACTCCTCTAGGGCTGGATCCGGACCTTCATTTTGGCTGTCTCGGTATCTAACAGGACAGGGATGCTGGGAATAACCAGCAAGGTGCAGCTTGTACTTATTTTGCAAGGCAGCTGGAGACTGAGTTCCTCGTCTCCCCACTCCTTTCCCCTCTCACCCCGGGAAGATATTGGGTGCAGGCTGTGTAGGTGTTGATGCCACCATCCTTGCACTGCTGGTGGACTCAGGCTGGTCACCCAGGTCAGACTCCAGCTCTTCTCCACTGTTCCAGCACAGAGAGGCCGTTGGAGGGCAGCAGTTTCATGCAGTTTTTCATTACTGACCCTATTTGATAGACGTTTCAGCCACCCATCCTGGACCAAACAAGCCACCTTGCAGCTCTGCTCGTCCACTCTCAGCTTCTGGTCGAAGCAATGAGCTGAGGGAGCCCTTGGCCACAAAGACCCAGCCCAGTCTCCTTGGTGGTGGGTAGCAAAGAAAACCAGGTGGCACTTGAAGATGTCCCTATGGCATCTTCTAGTTTGGGAATGGGAGAAAAGGCCAGACCAGGAAAAGTCAGACCTGATGAGGACCTACAGCTGCTGCCCATTTCTGTCTCCGTGCAATGCTCTGCTTGGCCTCCCAGCCCTGTGTTTTGAGGCCATCACCCTCCTCACTGCCATGACCGAGGCTGCTTGTTTGGTTTCCAAGAGTCTCCCTGACTGTTATGAACAGCCAAACACCAAGCACTTCCAGACCTTTCCTGGGGAAACCACTCTGTGAAATATGCTCAGGAAAGAGAAGAGAATCTACTGCCATTTTTTATGCCAAAAAAAAAGAGGAACATTATTCAAGGCAATTCTGACACTAATTGAGGTAACCTGAGCCAAACACTATAAAGTCTCTCCCCATTAAGAATCACGCTTAACATAAGTTTTCGGTTTGAAGGACCAAAGCTTTTGAGGGAAGATCTTGCAGCACCGATGTGTTGTGAAGCCATAAGGCAGTGGCAACCAGGAGAAAATTCTTCTTCTTTTCAGCTTTTTCCAGGTCAAACCGGGCAACCCAAACATCCCCCCCAGCTTCAAATGCTGGCAGTTTCTGGACAGCAGCGTGTTCAAGATAACCCCCTCTGCCAAGCCACCGCTAAACGGCTTCAAGAGCAGCAAAAAGCCGCGCGAGGAGCCGGGCAGCACCCGGTGACACAGATCTAATCTCCCGAGCATTTGCCCCAAATGTCTCCCTGCCAGGCAGTGACATTTCTGTGCTGTCTCGGCTCTCTCCCTCCATCACCATGGCTACAGCAGCCGCCAATCCACGGGCGAGTCCTTCCAGGGTACCACCAAACCCTCTGGGAGATGCTACAAGAGCCAGCCCCTTTGGCAGGGAGACACTTCGGGGACCCTGGGACTGCCCGTAGCACCAAAAATTCCCCTCTTTCTTCTTTCCCTCCTCCTTTTTATTTTTTCTTTCTCTCTCTTCTTTTTTTTTTTTTTTTTTTTCTTCTTTTTTGAAGCACAAACAATGGAGCTAAAAGGTTGGGTATCAGGCCGATAATCATGAATGACGTGTCGTTATTACACACCACACATTCATTATCTCCCACTCCAGCCATGTCACAGGCGGCTGGAGGAGGGCAGATAACGGGGTGCCTTCATGCAGATGGCTTATTATCAGGATGTTCCAGGAGGGGCTTTAAGACAGTTAGTGATGCTGTTTGCCAGTTAAAGATTAGAGACCCCAGAGAATAATTAACAATCCCAAAACCCAGTTTTTCTGCTGGATTCTTCTGCTTTCTCCCCCCTCCCCCATCCTCTTTAATCTATTCACTCTAGCAGGTGTAATAAAGTGATAAGGACAGGCTCCGGGGATGTTTGTTTGGCTACTACGAGTGTATAAACCAACAATGGATGGTATTTTACTTCTGGCTTTCAGTGGCTTGAATCGAGACCAAAAACTTTGCAGCCCCCTTGCCCACACACAGCCACCCTTACACACCACGCTCCCGGCTCCCACCTGGGTGGCTGGGCTCCTTGCCCGGCCCAAAGGACCACGAAGGTGGGACGGGCTCCCTTTTTACTTCTGGAGGTCCAAATCACATCACTTGGGTGTTAAGGTACCTGGCGCCAAGACATAAACTCAGGCTACACTGCTCAGCCCCAGGGCTCGAGCTGGTGGTCCTTCCAGCAGCAGTTTACCTGCATAAGGTGAGACTTCAATTTAACCACCTTGGAATAATTCATGTATCCTCAGGACCAGGCAGGGCTAACCCACCTTTGCCAGTAGTTTAATGCAGCTACCTGCAATGGGCTGTGCATGGACATCCAAGGAGCAAGGTAGGTGTCCACCTGCCCGGGCTGCTCCAGGGTTGTGGTCACAGCTGGAGCAGGAACATCTTACACCTCTGTGGCTGAAGAGCCTCACTAACTTCAGGGAGATCAGGGAAACCTCAAGGTAAAAGTGGCTTTCAATAAGATGTCCTATTGTCTGGGGGTCCAAGAGATGAGTGGCACCCTCCTAGGCCACAAAGGAAAGCTGTGATGTATCTTGTAACACAAAAAGACCACCCTGAATATCTTCTGCTCAAAAAAGGACTATCCAGTCCACAGCAGGTCCCAACCTTGAAAATCTTCCTGAAGCCCAAGATACTGTCATTATGGAGTGAGGGGTAGGATGGGGTAGCCATGGGTATCCTTCCCTTTCATCGGTTGGTGTGGGGCGGCTTCTAGAGGGCATGGTCACCCTCCATGTTGTGTGGAGACAGGTGCTGGGGAGGATTCAGCCCCCAGGCAAGTTGGCTCAGGGCCCTTCAGAGAGGTCACCGAGGCTGTTGGAGATGCCCGTCACCTGGGGGCTATTACGTACAGCCTTAGCTCTGGAGAGCATCCCCCATCTCACAGGGTCAAAGCCGTGAGTGCAAGTGCCACGATGCCAGAAGTTGCGTTCCCGATCACGCTCATCCTGCCAGGGAGGGATGAGACGGCATTGTGCTTTAAACAGCATCCCCTACCCTATCAGGGAGAGATGAGATATCCTAATTATGGCAGTACAGGCGAGGATCCGGGCCGTATCAGTCAGCACAGAAAGGTAAACAAGAAATATAACAATGGACCCTTAACACTCATTAGCTGTGTCAGATAATACCTCACTTTTCTCCCTTTGGGGCTTAAAATCTAATTAAGATTTTCCAACAATAAATTTCATTTACGCTTGCTCCCTTTTGTTCTTTTTAGGATCACATGGAGAAGCATCCCTGAGCCGGCTGCGCTGCTTGCGGGAAGGCAGCCTTGCTTCCCACGGCCAGCCTTGGATCGTGCTTGACAGACAAGGGAAACTGAGGCAGGATGGCATCACGGACTGTGCGGAGCTGAGACCCCACCAAGAAGATAACACAGTGGCTCTTGCAAAAGATGTTCTCCACAGGAAACAAACTATGAAGGGACGCTGGCTGGGTTAAGACCAAGCATCAAGGTTCCATGGCTTGCCCAAAAGGCACAGTGGTAAAATCCCCTCCTTCTCCTTGCTTGGCCCTATAGCCATGGGAGGGATCCATGGGGAAAGGGATGCTGAGACCCATCGAGCCCCCAGTCCCACACCCAGGCACTGCTGGGGAACAGCTTGGGCAATGGGTACGTATCCAGGGTGTGCGCAGGGCAGGGAATGGACTCCCGCTGTTACTCATTATAAGGACGCCGTTTCTGACTCCTTTGGCAACCGAGAGGTAAAAATTAATGGGTCCCTGTCCTCTCGCCACACCCCCAGCCCCCAGCCCCGGTGCTGACGCGGCGGGAACACGCAATGACTAATCCTCCCTAAACCCTGCTGAGGGAAGCATTACTGCTGAACTCCGGCAGCTGGGTTTTTTCCAAACCCGCGTGACGTTTGGCACCTGCAAGGGACAAGTCAGGGGAGAAGCATCCATCAGAGGCACGAAAAGAGGAGGTCCAGGACCCAGCTTCCTGCTGCCCCAGGGAAGGTGGCAGAAGGGAACAGCTCTGTCATGGTGCTGTGGACACGGCGGCCGTCCCAAAGGCTTGACCTCTCCAGCCCTTCTGCCTGTTTTCATCTATCCCCACGCAATTTCTCAACTGGAGCTGTGATTTCTCAACGCCGAGTCTTGAGGGCGTTTTCAAAACGCTTGCCTACGTGAGGCTCTCCAGGGAGATGCCTTTCAGGGTGGGCCTCTTACTGGAAGGCTCCTGTTTTACTCCCATGCCCGAACTTTTGTGTCACCACCCGCTAGGGACATCAGCAGCTTCATCTGCGGGAAGTGAGACAGTGGATCATGGTGGGTGGTGGCACCAGGGTTCAGCTCCAGCCCCCAGCTCCATCCAGAGGGCTCCCGGTGGTGGGAAGTGGCCCATTTTGGGCTGAGCTCTTCATCAGGAGTTGTTGCAGCTTCCCTTCGAGGAATCCCCAGCACGTTGCAGCAGTTTAGGAAAACTGGGCGTTTTGCAAGCTCGTTGCCTGCACCCTGCTAGGCAGCACCTCCACCAGGCTCAGGGCTCTGAAGGTCACCAGCAAGAGCAGGGGACAGCCCTCGCAGCAGGAAAGTGTGTTCAGGGTGGAAACACGAGGAGCAGGAGCTCTGCTAGTGAGGGGCAAAGCAGTACGTCCAGCCCCAGCACCCCAACTGTGCCCCTCTTTCTGGCATTGCTGTCTGCAAATGCGCCTCCAAAGTACCTCCTGACCAGGGGCCAGGTGTCCCTCAGACCCAAGCCCACCACAGCAGCTGTTTCACAGCAGGGCTAACGTCTCCCCTTGCCTCCACGCTCAGCAGAAAGCAAGAGCAAGGAGTGGCTGAGGTACCTGGTGTCCTCCTGCCACCTCCTTCCCCACTTCGTGTTTGCACAGCCCCAAGCACAGCAGAGCCCCCAAACCACCCTGCTCCCCCCAAACTCAGGGGCTGCCAAAAATGTTCCTCTTCTAAACCCCCCATCCAATCCCATCCCAGTCCTGCTCCACCTGTAGCCCCCCCAGGGCTGCCCTTGACTGCAGAACCCTTTAACCCTTTCCTCACTGGTCAAGAGGAGGACCCTGCATGCCACTTGGGTAACTGATGTCCCAGGGAAGACCAAGGCCGTTACAGGTAACCGGTTTCAATCTGCAAACGTCACAGCTCGAGAGTGCTCCCTGCTCCCACGGTGGCCCCAGCGCTGTCCCCACCACAGCAGAAAACAGACCCTGGTTAATGAACAGCCCGGCAGGAGCAGGTTGTACTGTGGCCAGCTGCCCTGGGGTCACTGCCTACCCCCTAACACCATCCCAGCAACACCAGTAAGTGATTGCCATTCACAGCCTCCAGCCCTGGGAATGCTCCCCGGGTGGCTATGGGTCTCAGCTCCCTGGCTCAGGGAGCGCTGCCTTTCACCCGTCAAGCAGCTCTGGGAAGTTCTGGGTTGGTGTCGTGCCTCAGTTTCCCCATCTGGCAAATGGAGGGGAATGATGCTCGCCTCCCCATCCAGCCCCCCACGGCTCTGGGGAGGTGCAACTGCTGACCAAAAAAATATGCTCCACCTTCTCTCTCCCCTGTTGACGCAGAGAAACACGCAAAAGTGCTCTTGGCTTCACCCGAGTGAGGAAAGAAGAGATGGATCCTACCCAGGAGGGATCACAGGGGAGATGAGGGTGCTCACCTCTGTCTAAGCACCCTTCCCACCCCAGCACCGCCCTCCCCGATGTCCCTCCCTGCCCAAATGCCCGAAGGCTGGGAGCACTTCAAGAGGACAGAAAGTCCTGTGGGTGATTAGCAAAATGACCCTCTTTGCTGTGGTATGGGCAACAATTCTCTTTATTGCTCACAGGGAAGATATATACAGGGGAGAAAGTTTGTTCTGACATTAAAATGCATGGTATAGGTCATAAAACGGAGGGTGAAATGGGGAGAAGAGCGGGTTTTCCAACAGCAGCTGCCCAAAGGGTGGCTGGGGATGTGGGGACATCCTAGGCACCCAGTGGGAACCCCTCCATGTCTGGAGCAGGTCAGCATCCCGCCAGGACTGGGGACATCAACTTCACCAACCAGATGGGGTGACCTCTGAGCAGAAGTGGCACCTCCAGACCTCTCCTGGGGACTGATGCCCACATGGACATTGACCCCTGAGGCAGAAGAACATATCCCGCAGGTGGGAAGGGAAAAGATCAGGAGGTGGTGGTGCCTTGGAGAGGTCAGGGACTCACCACACACAGGAGATGTTGGTGCAGAGGGTCCCTGTGAAAATGCCCGTCGCAACAGTGGGAAGCAAAGTGAGAGGAGGAAGGAGGGAGGATGGCCGGAGTGCCTGCTACATGGCAGTGGTGACCACCTTCTCCTCTGGCTCCACGGTGTTCTCGTAGGCATGGTTGCTCTCTTTGGACCTGCATCAGGAGGGAGAAGCACAGAGGTGAGCTCACCCCCAGAAAGACCAGCCTCTCTGAAGCCACCACCAGGGCCCTGACCTTGCTGGTGCCAGCCATGTATTGAGAGAGGGGCAAGGTGGGGAGGACAGGAGGGGTCCCTCTGCCACGAGAGCAAAGCTCAGGGTGGGAGTTGCTCTAATTTCTATTTTGACAGTCAGCATCTGCATGGTGACCTATGGCCACTTTTGTTGGTTTCTCCTGCTTGAAAGGTGTGATGTAGCATAAGAAAAATGTGGTGTATCTAGTTGCAAGGCGGTGGATGGACCATGGGGCTCAGCTGCAGGGATGGGAAGAGACTGGGGAGAGTGGGATATGCCCTCACTGCCTTCTCCTTAGCCCCTGGAGAGTATAAAAGCCCCCAAACCAGGTACATGGGGGATCTGAGACCCTGAGTGGGAGAGGCTATGGCTCTGCATGTCTGAGCCATCCCCAAGGGATAGAGCAGAGCCCAGGTGCCAAGGGGAGGGGGTTCTTCACCTGAAGTCAGCTGCAACATTTATGTATTTCCCATCATGGCCATTGGACGTGACAGCCTCCTGCTTGTCCTCGACGCTCACCACCGTCTCGACGTTTTCCCTGGAGAGGGAGAAGAGAGGAGCTGAGCCAGAGCAACGGAGGGACCGTACCAGGGAGCAGCTCATGACGGTGACAGTGCAGAGGAAAGGACTGCTCCAACACCACAGAGACGATAGGGGACCTGGATGTGTGATCCTGGCCTCAGACACCCACCTCAGCCCCCTTCCCAGCGGACATGGGCGAGGAGATTGCAGCAGATTTGCAGGGACCATGCCTGGACACCAAGTGCCAACCCCTGTCTCCCAGAGCTGGTGCTCCCAGCGCCAGGCTGGCAGTCAGCAAGACTCATTTGTCAATACGTGGGATTGTTTTCTCCCACTAACTGGTTTTTCCAGTCTTCTTCTATGTAATCTGTTGCAAAATAGTCCTCTGTGGTCCCGACTGACACCGAGAGGAATTCCGAGGCTCCGCCGGCGCCGCAGCCCTGGCGCAGGAGGGTGCACACACGTGCATGTCTGTGTGTGCAAATCCGAGTAGCTTCCTCTCGGATGAGAGTCACTCACAGAAGGAATTGAGGGGCAGGGACCAGGTGTTCAACCTCAGCCAGACCCTAGAAGCTCAGCTCTGGGGCAAGCCCATGAACCGAATGGTCTTGGGAGGGTTTAGCCGTGGTGGGTGGGTGCATGTCCACCCTGTGTGCACATCCCTGTCTCCTCCAGGTGATCTGGGAGGCTTTTCCAAGGAGCAGACTGGCATAAACAGGCAGTGGCTTGGGCTGATAGCTGCTGTCACAGCGACAGCGTGGAGCTGGCAGTGGTCCAGGCTGCCGAGCCTGGCTGCTGGCTCTTCTGTAGAGAGGCCAGATTAATTAAAACAAGCCGCCATCCCCCCCCTCCACCCCGCCTCAAGCTCTCCTCAGCATCCTCTGCCTCCAGGCTGGGAAGGAGGCAGCTGGGCACGGGCAGAGGTGGGAAACACCATCCCTGCCTCCCGCTCCGTGGGCTGGGGGCTCTTCCAGTTTGAGGACAAAGGTTCCTCTTTGGGAAATAAAGACTGCAGCTGCAAATCATGTTATATACTCAGCCAGACCCTAGAAGCTCAGCTCTGGGGCAAGCCCATGAACCGAATGGTCTTGGGAGGGTTTAGCCATGGTGGGTGGGTGCAAGTCCACCCTGTGTGCACATCCCTGTCTCCTCCAGATGATTTGGGAGGCTTTTCCAAGGAGCAGACTGACATAAACAGGCAGTGGCTTGGGCTGATAGCTGCTGTCACAGCGACAGCGTGGAGCTGGCAGTGGTCCAGGCTGCCGAGCCTGGCTGCTGGCTCTTCTGTAGAGAGGCCAGATTAATTAAAACAAGCCGCCATCCCCCCCCTCCACCCCGCCTCAAGCTCTCCTCAGCATCCTCTGCCTCCAGGCTGGGAAGGAGGCAGCTGGGCATGGGCAGAGGTGGGAAACACCATGCCTGCCTCCCGCTCCGTGGGCTGGGGGCTCTTCCAGTTTGAGGACAAAGGTTCCTCTTTGGGAAACAAAGACTGCAGCTACAAATCAGGAGTTTGAGGACAAAGGTTCCTCTTTGGGAAATAAAGACTGCAGCTGCAAATCATGTTATATAAATATATACATATATGTATATATATATACACACATTGCATTATGCATTGGTCCTGGACGCATCTTAAAGGGCCCCCTTTAAATGCATCTGGGGCAGGAGCCGACCTGCTGAGCATCAGGGTACACCCCAAGTCCACACCTTCTTGGCCTGGAGAGGCTGGAGGGATGTACAGACACAAGAAGACTCCAGCATCTTTGGGTGCAAAGCCCAAAGTGCCTGTGCTGGTGCAGAGGAACCAGGAACCAGGCTACAGGGCATTTTCAATCTTCATCCCCTGTTGACTTTGGCCTCAGATTCAAGATCAAGTTACTGCAGCTTAGTCAGTTGTCCTGGGTCAGCTGAGCAGGAGCAGCAGCCTGTGGCTTTGCTTGGCCAGCAGAAGACAAAGGTAGTCAGTCCTGCCCAGCCTTTTTCTGATTAATAAGGCCACCTCATTTGCCTGTGCCTTGGGCTCCAGGTGGAGAACACTGCCATGGCTTGGCTACCTCCCTCTTCCCCCAGCTCCTCTCAGTGCCTTCTGCTGACTTGGCCCGGTCTGCTCTGCAGATGAAGCTATTTGGGCTTGTTTTCCCACAGATATAAGGCACCAGGGAGCTGCACCCCAAAATCCGTAGGGAACCAGGCTCAGACAAGCCCCCCGAGATGTGTGCCCACGTAAACCAGCCATGATGCTGTGGGTCTCCCACCTTTCTTGTGGCAGCATCCGAGTGCTCTGCTTGGGGTTACCCCTGCGCAGGGAGCGGTGGGGATGGAAAGTGTACACTTGCACCTGGCAATAAGTAACTGGGTGCAGAGACCAGGACAGTGGAGAAGAGGACAGTGAGACCAGGACAGGGAGTCTTTGCTCTCCCTGCCTGGCAACGATCACAGTGTTCCCAGTCCTGGCATGGGGACGGAAGTGACTGGAAGTGACCCGTGCAGAGACAGTTAAACCCAACCTGAAACAACCCCCCAGGGCTCCCACACTTACACTTTCTTCTTACACCAGAACCTGTTGACCACAAAAACGATAGCCACCAGGACTAGAAACACAACCACTGCAATGACACCCTGCGACCACGGCTGGAGGGGGCCCCGAGCTGCAGAAAAATGAGAGGACATGTGTCAGAAATATATCCTCAGGCTTTATCGGCTGAGCTTCTCCTGTCCACCTTCTGCCAATGTCCAGCCAAGAGCTTGGTCCTGCAAAGCCAAGCAGAGCATGTTGCTATTAATATAAGGTGGGCTTACCTGGGTGATTGCAATGAAATAAGGTGCAAATAACAGTAGTTTCGCTGGCCTTTGCATGTGGAGCATGATACCTTCCAGCCTTGGGACCCCATATACACATTCATATACACACACAGTGGGGTGCAGATGACTCTGAGGTGGGGGGACAAAGGGTTGGGGGACACGGAGGGAGGAAGGAAGAGGAGATGTTTGCCCAAAGCGGCAGGGGAAAGAAGGCAGAGAAGTTTCAGCAAATTCTCTTTCCCCAGATGCCACAGACATCATTTCTGGGTTATTTTCCAAATACTGCCTGCTAAAATAAGGACCCTGCAACAGGCAGGGTGTAAAATTTGGTCATCGCTCTCACAGCAAATGGTTGCCCACGTGGATTTCGGTAAAAAAGCACCATTCAACAAGTTTCCAGAGCAGCAAACAGATTTATGACGGGAAATTGAAGGCCGAGGCGTTCAGAGCAACGGCACTCCAGCGCAAAGGCCAGGCAGGGCTGGCGGGGGGCCAGGCAGCTGGGGGGGGTGGCTGGGAGCCGGCTGCTGCATCCTCATGGATTAATTTTTCTCTGACCAGACCTGAGAAGTGATGCGGCCACGGGTGGGGAAGGCTACAAGATGTATTCCTGGATGTGGGAGGAACTCAAGGGTAAGGCAATGAGAAGGAGAAACCTTGTCCTAGTCCTTGCCGGGATGTCTGCTCCTCTCCTCCCACCAGCTGCTGGGCAACAGAGCACTTAGATGTAGTCAAACTCATCCTTAAGTGCTGTCCTGGATATCAGCACTGAAAGGTGACCTTGTCTATGCAAGCACATCCCTTTGGGATTTAATCACCAATTTATTGAGGCACAGCTTTTCCTCTTTCTGCTGATCGAGACGCCAACCCTTGCACACAGATGAGGTCCCTCTGTGCAGATGGAGGATGCTCTGTGCCACCCCCAGCATCCAGCATCAGCCTTGGATCGCTGGGACCCAGCCCTTGCCACTGGCGCCCACAAGGCTGAGCTGGCCCAGGAGTGGTTCATTGGTACTTCAGTCCAACACACGAGCTTTGCACTAGCTGAACACTTCGTCTGTCTCATGGGAGACAAATCTCTGCTATAAACAGTAAACAATCTTTACTAGTGGCAATAAAGGTGGGTGGTGCACTGCTTTGCACGTGCAAACTCCTCATCCACAACCGTCTCTGCTCCTGACAGCCCTCGTCTCCTTCCTCTGGTAATACCTCCAGCTCCTTGAATCTTTACTGCAAGAGGCTGTTATTTGGGAAAAAAAAAACCAAAACAACCAACCAAAAAACCAAAACAAAGCCCTTTTTCCTCTTGGAAGTGGCATCAGCCTGGTCAGTGGACTCAGCTCTTGTGCCAGTCCGAAAAGCAGTGGCACCCCTGGGTGAGTGGCTGGGAGAGAAGCCCCCAACAACAGCACTATGTCCCCCCCCGTCTCTCTGCAGAGACACTTGCCATGTTTACTGCAAGGTCACGGGGCCAAAACTCATGCAGGAGGAATTCAGGAGGAAATTCCCTCTTGTCTCAGTGTGTTTTGGCTGAAATCCCATCACATCGGTAGGCTGATGGTGGGGATACTGGGGGAGACAGTTGCAGTGCAGAAGAGCAGAATTTGGTCCCCTCCTGCCCTAAATGATGGGCAGGGATGCTCCTGGTCCTGCTGCCCACCACTCCCATTGGGTGCAGCCCCGAATGCACCAATTGCCTCCAGGCTGAGCTTTGACTCACTTTGCCTCCTCTCTCGCCCTGCCCTTGTCTGTTATCTCAGCCAGATTTGTTTATTTATTTATTAGTTGTAGTTTATTTTTCCGGTTGGGTCCAGGGTTTCTAACCTAAGCCTATGAGGAGATGGTCAGGTCCAGTGAGCTTTCTGCTGGGGTTAAAGGAGTTCAAGGTCAACCAGGGAATCAAGCCAGTGATGACTGAAAGCACCAAAGTTCTATTTCGTGATCTTCAAGTGAAGGAGGTGAGAAGATAAGTGGTAGGAAACCTCCTCCAAGGAGCCATCCTCAGTTTTTGCAAGCAAAACCTCACTCAGGCAGTTGTTTCCACCAGATTTCAGAGCATCCAAAGCCAAAAGGAAAAATACCAACCCCAAAATCAAGAGGTTCTGGCTTTAAGAGACCGGGTAGAGCCTGGCTGCAAGAGGAGATGAGGATGGCAGCTGGAACTGCAAATGCCTCCGCATTGGGCTGAAATACCCACGTGGGTGCGGGGGGCTTGTGTGGGCATAAGAAAGGAGGAATGGGAACCAGGCAGAGGTGAGAGCTTGATAGCATCTTCTTGGGGAGTGAGGATGTGGATGGCAGCCCTGAGGGGCACCGCCTGGCTGGAGCCTCACAGGAGCACTCCTTGTTCCCCTGCCAGGAGGGATGGCCAAAAGGATGAGTCTCACCTGTGGGAACAGGACTGTTCCTGGAAAAATGCTTTGCCAGGGATGTCCCTCCAGGGACAGCCTGTCCCTCGGGTTCTGCCACCTCCTCCCTCTTTCACCTCATGGCAATGGCAGGTTTTCCCCTCCCGAACTAAATCTTCTAAGCCAAACTAAGCAATGTGGGACCTGCAACCCTGATAGACATGTGTCTACAGCTAAAAGTGAGAGCAAGGGAGGTGCCAAAACCAATACAAGCCCTTGTACATGTTGTAACTCCATTTCCATACTCAATGGCTGTTTTGAAGACACAGATCTGCTTTTTGATACGTCTTTCCTGAGTGCTTGGAAAGCATCAGCCTGGCCCCTGTCTTTTCCCCTCTCCGAGGAAGCTGTGCCATGCTCTGAATCCTCATTAAAGGTTTGGGGTGTTTTTCTCTTTCCAGGCAACCGTGAAACTTTCAATCCTGCTGACGGTGGAGACCCCAGACTGATAAATCCTCACCGAGTTGGTAAACAAATACAGGAAGAGCGGTCAGGGCTGGGGCATCAGAAGGAGAAAGGGGGAGGGAATTTTCCAGGGCTTTGGCAGCATCAGAAGAGTTTTAATTGCTCCTTGTTATTTGTAGCGTTTGACAAGCCCTTCCACAAATTTCCTAAAAATAATGCCCTAGTCATAGGAAGTTTCTTTATTAAGTGTTCGGGAAGGGAATGGGAGGACAATTTGCGGAGGAAAATATTTGCTCCCTCACCTCGGCAATGATCAAAATTACAGATTAACAGGAAAAACTGCGAGCTCGGGGAGTGACCCAAGGTAATGCTTGCCCAGGGATGAGAGCGAGAAGAAAGGAAAAAAAAAAAAAAAAAAAGAAGCCTTAAGAAAACAGATTACTCATCTCGGTGCACAGTCCTGCCAGAGGTAAATCACAGCTACTTTACCTCTCCATGTAAGCAGAAGAAATAAACCTCGGATGGCAGTTTCAGCCTTCAGCAAAACAGGCAGAAAGTCCCCATACCCCGGCTCCGGCAAGACCTCCCAACCCACCCGACACTCACCCAACCCATCGCCGGCTGATGTGAAGCCAGAGATGAGGATCAGGCAGGAGATGGGATGTTTTTTCTCTTCCGAAGAGGTTTTTTCACAGTTGTCTCTTGTCCCCAAAGCCACCCCACCAAGCAGCTCCCACTTGCCCGGCGCTCAGCAAACCTTCCTGCCTTCCCCCTGCCTCAGTTTCCCCGGGGAGAGCAGGCAGCTGCCTGTACTTACCTTCCTGGCAGCAGGCAGGCTCCAGCAGCAGGAGCAGCCCCAGGAGGAGGAGGAGGAGGTGGCAGCGGGCAGACATGGCAGCAGGCAGGGCCACCGGCTCTCTCGGGGCGCGGAGGAGCAGTCGGGCGCTGCTCTTGGGCACGCCGCCCTCCCACAGGAATGAGCGCCTGGTCAATTATCAAACACATTAACGAGGGAGGCTGATGCTCTCACACCTGGTTATTCAAATCCTGTTGCGGGAAGGGGTGGAAGGAGGTGCCTCTCTCTGGCTTCCGCGGAGGAGGCTGGTGGGGAATTTGGGGCAGGGTGACTTGAACCTGACAGTCCCCTCAGGGCGGGGAAGGGGACTTGGCCACGAAACATTTGCATCAGCCCAGGAGGAAGGAAAGACTTCTCCAGCGTGGCTGTGGCACTCGGGGAACGTGGCTGAACAGGACCTGGGTGTCCCCTAAGTCCACCTCCCCACGGCAGGAGAGCCTGGGGGTCCAGCTGTACCCCAGCTCTGACACCCCTTCCCACCCCGCGGGTCCTGGGGATGCGGGGAGCTGCCTGGCACAGCCCCCACTCACTTTCCTGCCCTTTTCTTTTCAACAAGTGTCATTAACAACCCAGCAAAACATATTTGCGGCTTAAAAAAACCCCATCAATTTAATAAACCGGACTCGATGCCAAGTACTGCCTCCCCCCTCCCACGACTTGTTTAATGGAGAGACTGTTAAACTGAGCAAACACGGCGCTCGTTTTATTGAGCCATCAGGGTTGTTTACAAAATTTCTTCGACACCAGAAGAGGTAGAAACACATGAAGACCCGCGGCAGACAGCACAGCTGGCAGGCTCTTCACATCAGCTGGGAGGATGCTGCAGGATGGGGAAGGCATGTGGCAGGCTTGTAGGTCCCGAATTAAGCAGCTTCCCAGCCTGTGCTGGGTTTGGATGGCTGACAAACCCAGCCTGCAGGAAGAATAACAGCTATCCAGCTTCACGGCTGCACAGCTTCAGGTACTCCCCGAGGAAATTTTAACATTGGGAGCCAGTGGTTTCATCATCACTCTTCTCCTCGTGTGTCATTGTGTCACTATAAGCCCAGCCCTGCAGAGCTGGTGAGCATCCCCCTCAGCAGAGTCCAAGCTCCCGGCCTCTGGGTCTGGTGGTCTCCTCCACATGGACCCCAGTTTCCCCACCCAGGCACCCACAAAGGACCCACGCTCAGGAACATGCAGCACCCTCAGGAATACATACCCACCAGAGCAGGATTGTCCCCCTTCATCCCTCCTCTTTCCCCTGGACCTAAGATAGTGCCACTTATCCTGAAAACAAGCTGGAGCTGGCTTGAGCAGCACAAGACTGAAGGCCAGTTCCTGGTTCTCTCCCAAATTCCTTTCCATGGCAAAATCTCCATCTGCAATGTGGGATAATCCCATTCCCAACCCTGCTAGTTATTGCTTACAAACTCCTTGGGGCTGGGACTCTCCCACTGCACCCAGCAAGGAACTGGCACGACAGGGACCTGCCCATAATAAGGCCCTGTAAAAACAATTTAACCCTGTTACAGAGTAAAAAGAATGGCTTACGAAGAAATTAAAATGAGAGTGAACTTTGGGTTCTCCATGATGACTTGCTTCCATGTTATCTATCCAGGAAAGCATGCAGAGCTTGCGATCTTTGCTGCCTGTTGTTGATTGTCTCTTAGCAAAAGCCCAACAAAAACCCTGGCTGATTGGAGCAGAAAGCTTTACTAGCAGATCAGAAGTTCTAGAGAAGTCAGTCCTTCTGCTGCGCTTGGAAAATTCAAGGTCTGAGATATCTCTCTGATATTGCTATCCACCCCAAGTCATGCCTGGGGCTGCAGCAGGTTGCTCATGGTGTTCCTTCTGATCTTCCTCCACGTGTACTCCAGATTGTCTTCTCACCCCAGGGCTCTGCCCAGACCAGCTCTAGGGACCTTGGACTGATTTTCCAAAGATAGCAATGTCTCAAAGATCCATACATATCCTACGGTGTGTTGGGGGGTGGGAGGTGGGGAACAGGACAAACCAGACCCCAAGATGAAGGCAGGACTGCTGTGCCTTACAGACAGGGGACTTGCTGTTGGCTCCCTCCTGAGGGGAAAATAACCCTTTACTATTGCACATTCCTACATTTCTAAGAAATTTAAGGAAATGTAATTGTTCTGGGCTTGCTGATGAGGCCAGGGAATCGGCTTGTTTGCTTATCTCAAAGCTCCTCTGTGCTCCAACTGTGCATCTCCTTTAGCTCATGGCAGCTATTAGCAAGGTATGTGCTATTGTGGCCAAAAGCGCCTGTGGCACCTGCTTCGTTGCATATTGCATGGTCCAGCTGGGGGGGGTGAGAAACAGCAAGTCACTGTAATGGCAGCAGCCTTGTTGCAGGGGCAAAGTCAGAAATTTCGATGAATAATTAGCCATCCGGCCGGTCCTTTTGTCATTCTGGCTGTGGTTTGGGTCCTGAAGAAAGGAGAAGCCCTGCCTTTCCAGCCTGCTGGAAATCTTGCTGTCTCTCACACCGATAACTTCAGCATCGCCCAGTCGTGGTGAGGCAAAGCCCTACAGGTCCATTTTCCAGGCGAGGGAAACTGAGGCACAGAAGGGGCACGTCCCCTTAGCAGCAGTTAGTCAAACCCATCTGGAGCCAGACCCAGCTCAGGTCCCTCCCAGGGACTCATGTGAGTAGCTGCCCACCCGACAGGTCACACAGACCAGGTCTTGGGATTTTAGGATTTTCACTGATAGCCTCCAAAAATGGGTAATTCCCTCCCTCCCCCGAGAAATGTATCCTTTTTAGTCAAAATTAACTTTTGCTCAAAGCAACATCCCTGAACCTAAAACATGTTTCTGGGTGATTATGGCTCAGAGCAGAGAAGCCAGTTCCTCTTGGAAAAACGTTGTGGGGCTCTGTGTTTTTATGGAGGTTATTTGTCTTTCTCCTTCACTTCCTTCCTTCCTTCCTCCCTCCTTCCTTCCCTCCTTCATCCTCTCCATCTCCTCCCCCTCTTTTGGAAAGAGCCATAAAAATAAAGAAAATAGATGAGAGCAAGCCTGAACAGCCACTAAACACAGACAATATTGTATTTTTCCTAGGCAAAAAAATAATGATGGATTTGTTGCATTTTAATAGCTGCTCTAAAAAGAAAAGAAAAAAAAAAAAACACAAACCAATTTTTAATTGCTTGATTCTTTTAACATTTTTCATCAAAACCAAATATTCCTCGCTTGCCCTCAGTTCCCATTGACATTGGCTTTCAAATCCAGCCTGGGATGGATGCTGCCAGGGGAGAGACAGAAGCTATATACATATATATTTATAGCCACTGCTTTAAAAAGGTCATTTTCTTGACCCAGAGTGCCACTGTGCATAGATGGCAGCAGAAAAAGGCTTTTTGTCCATCACAGCTCTATGCTTTCACTTTCCCTCTTTGAAAATGCCTTTAAACAGCAATATATTTTCTTATTTATGTGCTGATGAAAACCCCAATGCCAATGGTGTGGCAATGGGGCACGGCCCCACGCGGTCTCTGTCCTCCCCCCACCAGCCTGGGGTTCAGCTCCCCTCCTGCACACACACAGGGCCAAGAAAAAACCAAAACACAACACCTTTCAGCATTTTATGAGACATTTTATTATACCATTCATGGCTCCCCCAGAGCTGATGCTAATTGCAAGCCTTGGGTAAGCAGCAGAAAGCAGGGGTGGCACGGTGGTGGCTGTGATCCCTCCTGGACCCTTGTTCAGGGAAGATGTGGATTTTCCTCTTCTCCTCCCAGGCAGCCTGAATGCTCTGGTGGGGTCAGCCAGGACCACTCCTGGCAGGACACTCACTGGGAGCTGGTACCCAGAAGCCCTCTGAGATGGGAACCACACATGGCACCACCATCGGCCACCAGAAAGGGCCGTGCATCTCCCTTCATTTTCCCTCAAGGTCTGCTCAGAGGCATCACTGTGGCCTGTGTGCATTTTGTGGGACCCTCTGGATGATGTTTTTACACTGGTTGGGTTTTGGCACAGTTCTCTGGGCAGTGACCACCATCTCTGCTGGGGCCTGCTGGGCGATGCTGGTGCCCTGTACATCTAAGGGGGGCACTGAGCTCTCTCCTCCATCCAGCTGCCCATTTGCACATGGTTCCCAGGATTGGTCCTCTCTGAGCTCCCTGTTCCTCCATCCGTGGGGTCAGTAGCTGCCAGGGGTCCCACAGCACATTCACGTCAGGTCCTGCAACCTCAAGGAATTAAGCTGAGGAAACACCTACCCGAACTGTTTCACCTCGCTGCGAGGAATCAAGCTCAAAATCCCCGAAACGAGAAGAAAATCCCCCCACCTCCAATCTCCCTTATTGCTGGGGAAAGAGCCTCCATCCGTGACTCCCCCTCAGCTTTCCCAGCTGTTCAGAGGACACACAGCACCCCTAATCATCTCTGGGTGCAGGGGAAAGTGTCGCTGCACTGCTGGAGTGACAGACAGCCGGGATCCCAGTACGTAACGCTCGGAAAGGGAGAAGGGAGCTGACTTCGCTCTGGATATTCCCTCCTGCCCAGCAATATCGGATGGAATGAATAATTTACTATCCGATCATCTCTAATCTTCGTCCCATAAAATCAGCAGCAAGCTGGGAGGGTTTTTGAAGCCTCCAGCTGCATTCGCTGATAAGACATGAGGCAGGAAAGATTGGAAGCCCATAAAAATGATAATCTCAGGCTTCGGTGTAACTTGGTGGAAGGGTTTACTCCTGTCCTTTCATTAAGGATGGATTTCATGATCTTCCTTAATATAACAACAAGCCTTCTCACGAGGAATCTCCCATCCGAAAACTGATTGCATCGTCGTTAGGGAATAGGAGGCCAAGCAGCCAGAAAGAAATAGCTGGAGCACAGGGTAGCACAAGGACCAAGTCCCTGCAGAGCGAACTGCCTTTATGGGGAGGGAGGGAGGGAGGGAAGGGGGCAATCAGAGGCAATTTCCAAATGTAGAGTGAAGCTTTAGGCATAGGGCTCTTCCTGGGAGAGCTGGGAACCGTCACGAGTTGCTGGCCACAAACCTGACCATGAGCCTGGCATCGTCCTCATCCTGGACCTCTTTGATGCAAAGAGAAACATTATGTCTCATTTCGATCTGGTTTGGTACAGCAGCATCCTCTCCATCCCCTAATTCAGTGAGACTGGCTGTTGCCTGGGAGAAGAAAGAAAAGGAAAAAACCCAACACATCTATCATTTCCACATGAA